TATACCCTGTTCCAGAGTAAAATCGCTGAAAACCATACCCTGTTTGGCGGCACGTACCCGTATAGCGCATATAGGGGAGTACCCCCCCCCCCCCCGTCCGGGACATTTTACCGGAAATTGTCTTGAACAGAATCTATAATTTTGACACAAGATCGTAAGTTTCATGTTTTTGTGTGTCTTGGGGATGTAGTACTATTTTTTATTAAAAAAACACGGCGTACTTTGGCAACCAAGCCTTTCATTATTTGACATAGTTTATCAGATCCTTGATGGCTTTGTTATTAAACTCCAATATTAACACTGGGTGAGATGCGTGCCTTATATAAGGTAAACAATATAGGGTATACATCCACTATACCGGCATTTTGTTGTTTGTTGTTTTAATGGCGTTTTGATGAATCATTTGGTCTGTACTGCAGTTCCAGACGATTTGGAGTCAGTATCACACTATATATTGAATGAAACTTAGTTATATAGTATAATTATACACAATCGATTGAGATTGAATATAATAACTTAAATGTACATGTACAATAGTGCAAAATATTCTAAGAAATCAATAAATATCTGTGAGGTAACAACATAGTGACATTGATTGACATCTGGTACATGATAATTGATTGGACTATAGACGGGAACCCTATAGCAGATACCCGCAAAGGTCTCTTGGGTAAGTTCCTGAAGACCCCTGGGTAACTATTGCGCAACTTTGTCATTTTGTCGAGGAGTAAAATACAAAAAAAACAAAAAAACAAAAAACAAAAAACAAAACAAAACAAACAAAACAAAGGCATTTCACGACTGTAATTATATTACTCTTAAAGTCCGGAATTACATCCTCAGCTGCTAAGCCAATCTATGAGAAATTTATGTATGAACACATGATTCAAATCCATATATGGGTACTCTTGTGCACTAGGATTAATACAACGACTCTAGTATGGAAATTGACCTACCCAAATGCAACTGGCTGCCAATGGGGTGTCCTATTTCATTATTTTCGTTAAAATTATGGTCAGCGCTTGTAAAATTACAGTACAACTGACATTCGGCCGAAAAGTTAGTAGTTAACTGCTTCTCCAAAGAGCTCCATAATGCAACACATATTTGTGCAACTCCGGAACGGCTAATAAGGGGACTAACGACCTCGTGGAGGATAGCTAGCTAGTTGTACGTATACCGACTTTTAGAATTCTGAAAATGGCACCTATATATCAATGTTATTTACCGGCCAGAAGGTCTGGATAGGGAAAAAATGTGCCCGAGGTCTTGTACATAGGTTTCCAAGACAGAGGGCACAGTTTTTCCAGAAGAGACGGAATTTCTTATTCCAGTTGTTGCTGTTTCCTTGAGTTGCATGGATTTCTTTTTTACTTAGAATTATAATTAGTTATTTATTTAGTTGGCGACTCTATTAAAATAAAATAAAGTAACCATGGATCATAGGCGCCGATGGATTGATGCTATTTTAAAAATCACATTTGCCATCGTTTGCTTTTCTGCACGCTCTCTACTCGGTTTGGCACGTTAAAGAAAAAAAAAACACAAGAAAACTTGGGCAAACGATGTACATGTAAAGCGCGCAGTACGCACATGCAGAAAAGCAAACGATTAGATGAATGAATAGCATTATGTGATGGGGTGCGACAGTTCTTCTCCTACTTCATTTTCTTTCTTTTTTTTTTTTTTCTTCCCACAGACCGTCTTAAAGTGCTACTACGACGAAAATCGCTCAAACTTGGATTCAGCTGAAACTTCCTAAGAATACTCTTTAAAGGTCCAATAATCACTGTATGAAGTGTTTTCTCAATATTCAGGACGAAAGTATGATATTTTTACGATTATTTTTTGGAGTCTGTGACGTCATACACTCAACATCGAACATCGCTCCATACATTTCTTTGTAGTTTATGATCAAAATATCAGTAGTAAAGGGAGAAAGAAATACCCAAACATCTCAAAATATAAATTATAGTCACAAGTAATGTGAAATAAGCACATTAGCCACCCTTTGGGCTTCATAGGAATGAAATAAATTAAGGATTTATATACAAAGAAATATATGTAGCAATGTTTGATGTTGAGTGTATGACGTCACAGACTCCAAAAAATAATCGTAAAAATATCATACTTTCGTACTGAATATCGAGAAAACACTTCATACAGTGATTATTGGACCTTTAAAGAGTATTTTTAGGAAGTTTCAGCTGAATCCAAGTTTGAGCGATTTTCGTCGTAGTAGCACTTTAAGGGACCTGTCATTTACTAGAAGGGGGGGTGGGGCTGGTGCAAATGGAAATGGGGCCATACTTTTTGTTCAACCAAAAATGATGGACTGCATGAAATTATGCAAACATTTTTGTTATTGGGGGGTCATGCGTTTTTAGTCAACTATTTCAGGTTTGATATAGTGTATAAAGCTATTTAGTTTACATTTTCACAGCAAACTTAAAGCATAGAATCTCGGAAATGAATCCGAGAATACTATGGAAACACAGGTATTCGGACCCAAGCAAGGGGAGAGGGGAAAGGGTTTTCGGTGGGTAAAATGTTAAGGAGTGCGTAAGAGTGTTTATAGAGCATGAGGGTATGGAGGGGAACGGGTTCGTACGAGTATTGTAGATTGGAAGAGATATAGGAAAATATGAAATTTGTAAGGATTACTTTGAAGGTAACACAGGGAATGGGGGAAAGATGCTGCATATGGCCATGGCACGAGTGGAGGGGGCAGTGTTGATATGTATCGAAAAATTATTTGCTTGTAAGTTTGTATGATGAGCTCATGTGTAGGTAGAACCGAAAGTGTGGATGGATGTTAGACTTAGCGCCCTATCTTGGACCTATCGTCAGGGGTGAAGATGCAAGATAGCGAAGGAAATCGACGTGTTTCAAGACTCTTAGGCCCAGGTTGGGTCTGAGTTGGGCGTGGGTCATGTTATTTTATGTTCTCATTCTTGGGGCCACATTACTTTGTGCATTTGAAAGAACAGGGCCACAAGAAAATATGCCATGGAAAATGAAAATTACTTTTTCGCTTGTTTGGCAATTCGTTTTGTTGTTTATCAATCAATTTAGATAGCGTTAGCCTTACGTTAGGATACTGGTGAGATATACCGCCCGCAGTCAATCAGAAAGCACGATTTTTAGGATACGGGAAGGCAGAAATTATAAATTTTATTCGGTGAAGGTACTGGCAGCCAAAGCCCGATGTTAAACCGATCACATGACCGTATATGGCCATATGCTCTAAATGGTTATTAAAATAATGACCTCAACAAAGGAAGCAATTCACCAATTGAAATTGAACTTTTTATCTACATTACTGTCTATTTCTATCTTGAATAGTGCATGGCTTGTAAGGAAGGGCAAATTTAATGCCCATTTAAACGCGCCTCTCTGTTTACAAGAAAGAACATTGTCAATAAAAACGCAAAATATCAACAGCAGAGATACAAACAGTGAAACGCGTTGGGTGTTTCGTCCATCTGCACTACAATGGAGAAGTTTTATCGATGAGCGCCATATACCAACACCTTGAACACCATTTACTCGTTCATTGCGTCAAGATGGATCTGTCCTCCTTCCGTCACAAACAATTAATGATCCACGGCAATATGATTGCTACCGAAAAATTTATTTACATTGTGAAGATAACGCATCGGTAAGAGGATACTAAGGGAACGGTCATTATTCATCGCCTTGGGGATGTGCTTGGAGTATTTTGTGGTGATCACGTTTTTTAGACAACTGGGTCCGGTTGTACGAAGGGTGGATAAAGTTATTGGATAACACTATTGACTTATCCACTGGATCAGGATTCGCGCTATCCACCCTTCCCACAACCGGGCCCTGGAGAGAGAATCAGGTAAATATTGACATGACTCATATCTCTTTTGGAGATAATCTTTATGATGTTACAGCAAATCTCTTCCGAACCCCCTTAGGTGATACACATTGACCGATCGCTAATTACGACCATCAATGACTTGGTGAACTGGTCCATTCCACAGATATAAAAAGACCAAACTTCCACTATCCAAACAGAGATAACAAGGAGAACAAACTTCCCAGATAACCAAAATGATGGTGATAATGCGATCGTAATGATGACGATGATGAAAGTAGCGAGGATATATGATGATGACGATGGAAGTGGTGAAGATGTAATTATGAAGATGGCTTGAAGAAAAAGAACATCCTCGATTTATTACAAGGTGTCTTCTCATGTTCCAATAATCCAATGGCCTCAAAATTCTGAGTGCACATGGTCCTTGTGGAGGTAATCTTTCATTCAGCTTGTTCTCATTATGCCACATAAAGGTAGACTTTTCTGTTTTAAAAGAGAAAGAGGAAAAAGAAACCCAAGAAAATTAGAACAAAAATTCCCAATAACAACGGCCCCAACAATATACCCAATTTACTATTTTCCCATTTGAGCCGGCGTGTCATTCCTTTGAGTACCGTTTCCTTGTTTAAGGACATTCGTGGACAAATTATGATCTTTTAAAAACTTGGCATAACATACCCGATTTTTTATTTATTTTTGGTAAACGCTGAACCGTATACTCAAGAGAGTGACAAGTGGGAAAACATTATGCCTAGGTGTATTAGGTCCCATTGCTTCTTTATTTGTAAGCTGTCTACCACTCTCTCACTCGAAGATTCTGCATTAGAAAAGTTTAAAAGCAAACACTCCCCCAACGCTTACCCCCCACACCTTGTAGGCTTAATGCTCATAAGGTAACTGGCTACTTTTGGAAAAATTTAAACTATTTTCAAAACTACGATGCCTTGAAGTAAAATTTAATGCTGATTCCAAATATGAAAAGAAAAATGGGGTGTCATGACCTTGTTTTCGAGATAATCAGTATTTAATGGATGCCTAGGCGAGAGTTTTCGAAGCAAAAATTGCATCACCGGAAATGTTCTGGAAAAAAACTAATAAGATAATAGTTATAATAATATAATTATAACATCTTGGTTTAGAGAGCGATACGTGACATTTGCCAACTTAGCACTAATAAGTTTGTGTCCCTCTATGTTAAATGTCTCTAAGACCGCCATTTTACGTGCTCATCCGAGCCACCGAGAAGGTCTAACCATTTGCAGCACCTCCTACATAGATATTTCAAGAATCCGAGTGTGAGTCCGGCCGATTAATTGCAAAAAGGAGTTTACGATCAAATTTGTCACATTGACAATAGTAAAGTTTCAAAGTTTCGTAGAAATTGCCCATAAACTGACGAAGATATGAATTTTTGAAACCAAGCATTTTTGCAAAGAAATGTATGCTACTCGTTTTCATGTATTTCACATATATTTCTTTATAGAAATTTTACAAAAATACTTGGATTAGTTTAGATCTGTATTTCGAGATGATTGGTGTGATGTAAAATCAAGGACATTACGATTTTGATGATAGAAAAGCCTTCGATTTCAACTAAACTAGCATCTATCAGTATAAAGCTCAGCTTATGTGTAGTAAGTGTGTGAAATATCACGTTCAATTTAAGTCTGTAGCGGGAGTTAAGGCTGGTTCACACTTGCGACAGAATCGGAAGCAGAATCGTAATAGGAGCTTAGGATCTAGTGTCAACCAATAATCGGAGTCGGAATCGGAAGCAGAAGGGCGACGGTAGCGGAATCGGAAGGATCACAAGGTTTTCTTTTTCTTCCGACTCCGATTCCGATTATGACGCTTATGGATCAGTGTGAACCTAAGAATCGGAATCGGAATCGGAAGCAATGACAGAGCTCTTACCCAAGCCATTCTGAGCAGAATGATGGCGGCAACTATGGGAACAACAAAGGAAGCGAGCGCCGAAGCGATTCGATTCACACTAAATGTAAGCTGCTTGCGATTCCGATTCCGCTTCCGACTCCGACGCTAACCTTACAACGCTAGTGTGAACCAGCCTTTATAGCCGTTTCAATTCAAGTACCCGCGCACTCTGAATACTGGGTCGAGTCAGCTTAACTCTGGAAGTTTGTCAGGAAGTTCTTACCTGTCCTCTGGTGTTCGAGTAAGATATTCCCTTTCGATAAGTCCTTCTATCCTTTTCTTGATAACTTGTGGACTTGGAAGAAAGCGGGCTCGAAGTTGTTCCGTTACCTTAAACGGCAACATAAACCAATTAAAAAAAAAGAAAAAAATCGGAAAGACAATCGTATTTGTCCAGTCGTATTCAACTCGGACATCCCGCCTGTTGTTTGTTGGCGTCAAAATTTGGCCAATCCCTAGAATGTTTACACAAGCATGGCTCTATGAAACGAGAGTTTTAAGCTACTCACCTCTGCGACTAGTAAGTTGTGCGGTCTCTTTTTCCTAGCTTTCATTACACGAACAATCGCCGCCTCAATTCTTTGACAGAGTTAAGAAATGTTATTTTAATAAACGTTATATTTATTTATTCATTTCAACTGAAGAAGAGTAACAGATGCAGATGTCTAAGTAAGGATACTCATGTTTTCTATCTTCATCGACTTTCGATCTTGTCTCCTTGCGTTCTGGTTCCGATTCGCCTTTGGCAAGCACTTCGATTAAATAAAGATAATAAATCAGCTGTTTTGGTTTTACTTACAGATACCGAGAGGACTGCTAGGACCGTCTTTACATGAATGTAGGGTCCATGACTCGATGGGGAATGGGTAGCTGTTTTGCTTTTGGTGTCCACAGGAGAAAAAACCTGTTGCTAAGCCCCAGGTTGACCCTACATGAAGGAATGAAGGATAAAAGAGAGCGCAGTAACTTCAATACTCACCAGTTTGTATTTTAACTCTAAAAAGCTTAGAGGTGAACTGGTCGTTGATGCAGAACATATCTGTGGGTGCTGTTCAAATAATTCATGCCATTAGAGAATACGTTAAACATCATCTTTATTGATTTTAACCAAAAGGGATAAATAGATAAATTACAAATTACAAAATAAATAAATTACAAAATAAATAAATAGATAAACAAATAAATGAATAAACAGATAACTAAAAATAAATAAATAATTAATTAATTAAAAATTTCTACATTTCGCGTATCCACGAGATAAAAATTATACGTCTAATTTAAAACCAGCAGCAACTGGCTGTTGTTTTGAGTGAGAATTTCGGCGACTTAACTAGAAATGGTAAGGTATGGCGTGGCATGGTATGGCATGGCATGGTAAGGCATGGCATAGCATGGTAAGGCATGGTATGGCATGGTATGGCATGGTATGGTACGCGTCGTGCTTCTCTTAACATTTCTCTAGCGTTTTGCAAAACCCCTGCACGCGCGCACGTTTTATTTCTTTATTTTTAACCAAAGCTATGTAGATAAGCTGTTTGTGATAAGCTGTTTGTGATGAACTATTTGTAATGACGACGACAACGAGTTGCCATTAAGGCTATGAATATGTGGTTAATACCTCGATTCTCAGTGCTTAACTTTTACTTAATGCAGCCATTAACGAAACAAAATAACTATTAATCTATTTATATAATCTATAAGATGTCTGTATACTCTAATAATGTATAACTTACCCATCTCCTTGCCTTTAGGCTCTTTGATAAGCACTCTCTGAGTTGCTTTACCACAAGCAAACGACTGCAGAGCTCGATTAAGATCTCGTTCTGGTATTAGACTGTCTTGTGCTATTTCCTGTAATCATGTAAATTGGATAAATTGACATTTCTAGGAAAGTCTTTGAAAACACAGCATACATCGTGGGCCGTTTTCAATGAAACTTTAGTTGAAACCTGAAACTTTTTATTTTGTGGTAGCCTAAAAGCCATTCATTTGTAGAAAATTCATTGGTGAGTAAAAGTGTAGAATAGTGCTGCCCATTGACTTGTCAGCCAATCCCAGCCATTATCCCCCCCCCCCCCCCCCCCCCCCCCCCCCCCCCCCCCCCAGGCAATTATCCGACCGACAATCCAACATCACCTAACCAAATTATGGTTGACAGGTCAATGGGGGTGCTATTTTACACTTTTACTCCATGGGTGCATGGGACTTCTGATGCCTTTCAACGAATACCAAAGTATATTTATTAGCTAACGCCCATGAAGTTTTTAATCCTATTTTCTTTCCTTTCTGCTCCCTCTTTCCTTTTACTACTTAATTTCTTCAATAACCTTATTACCAATATACAGGTATGTCAACTCAGCTAACAGGACATTACCTCATAGGTCAGTTTTTCCTTTGAATTAAAGAGCATCAGAATACACATTTGATACGAAGACACTTGGAATATGTGCTTTCGTCGCTGGGGGTCATCCTAAAAACAAAATCCTCTCAACATTAGATATGCTACCTAAGCCAAGTAAAGGAAACACAAAATTAACATTTTGATGTGTGATTCAGTTGTAAGCCAGGGATGAAGACATTATTATTGCTGAAATTTAGTGACGTGCTGCTATGCAACATTACTGTAATTTTAGTATCTATAATGCAGACTATTATTTGTCTGTTATACTAACCTTTTTAAGGGGAGGAAATGTAGCATAAAGTTCAGCAGTGCCCTAAAACAAAACAAAACAAAAAAACATGATGGTTTAGCAATGCACTGGCGCAGGGAAAGGGGGGCTACTTCCAGGTATAGAAAGATTGGGACTTGACGAGTCTTGTCCAGGTGGATGTGGCAACTTTACCTCAGGCCTAAAACTAGGTACCAACCAATAGCTAGATACCAAAAACGCCCAGGAGTGAAAGGGTTAATATAATTTCATGTATCTTATTACCTGACATACCTGACAAACACCTTAAGAGGTAACACCTAACTCTCTCTGGTGGATTTGTGACACCCTTAGTGGTGCCAAATCCCAGATGTGGAACCCTGGAAGGCATGATAAATACCCCCACCACTTTCCAATTGGAGTTCCCCTTTCCCCTCCCCTTCCCTCCCCATGGTGCATATTGACTTACTAGTTGTGGTTGCAATGTTAGTTGTCTTCCACTGTGACATCCTAAATAGAACCTGGTTCAAGTAAAAAGGAAATAGTTTATTTTGATTTTTTAGAACACAGTTGTTTTTACTTTGTTTTTATCTTACAGTAGGTTCTACCCAGCTACAGCATATAATGATATACAATCATTCTGTACACTTTATATGATTTTGGATTCACTAACAATTTGGACTGGTATGATACCATTAATTAGCTTGTATCATGAGCACAAAAAGTTTACCTTTTAAAACAGTCAAAAGCATGCTGAGCTTGAGGTGGCACATTACATTTATGGTTGCCAGCTTGGGTTGGCCAGAATCCTGTAGTTAGTACTCTTACCGTCAGGTCAATTCCCACTAAGTTGATCTTTAAAAAATACCAACAATATAAATGCATCACATCATCTTACTTTAGTAACTCCTCACCCACTGTAATAGTAACTGGATATCAAAGTCTTCAAAACAAGATTACCCCCTTGATAATCATTATCATTGAACAGATATTTTCAATAAAACTAATTTTAAAAATGATTACTCACTTGATTGTTGGAAACATGCTGCCTGAATTCTTCATTAGTTGAGTGGGATACAGTCATGTCTTTAAACATGCCTTCTAGTTTAGATGTGAACTGACAACCACATTCAGTCTAGAGAGAGGGAGGCACAGGTAAGATGCAATGCCTTCAACATTTATTGGAACCCATTAAAAAAACTTAAAAACTTGAACTAACTACAACAATCATGATAGTTATGTAAGCCCTCTGGACATCTTCAACTAGAGAATCTATATCGATATTCTATTTTATTTATAAGAAGGTGTTATCTACCATCCATCCTTCAAGTGCTAAAAAACTATAAAACTATTCTCGATTATCTAAAGGATGAATAGCACAAAAATCTTCCAAAATTTAATTCTGCTGAAACATCTTTTACTTGTACTGAAGGTAAATTTGATTAACTTATTAGAGAAAGTAATCGCTAACCAAGCGACGCCGGCGCTGATTGGCACAGAAAGGGCAGCTGTAAACACTCAGAGCTTAAAGCTGATTCAAACCAGAAAGACTGTTGGTTGGAAAGGACATTTATTTTTAAGATAAATGAGCCCTAATTAGTATCTATTTAGAAACAATCATACTATACTGATCAGTGAACTCTTTAATGTCTACGAATAAGTGAAACAAACACACTGATATACAATCCAATCCGTCTGTCCTAGCGCCCTTGAATGGACGTATGAACACAAAATTAAAATAATGGAGTTAGAGTTTATTACTATCCAAAAAGTAGTAGGCACATGCGCTTTATAAGCGCCTTTTTTCAATACTAAACAGACATCAGATTTACAATAAACATTTTGGAAACCTTGAGTATGATAATGATTATTTTTAAAAACTGTTTGCACGAACCAGTCAAAATTTTTAATGAAGCCTGGGGTGACGTCACAGTCAGTAACATACTGGAAACATAAACCTTCATTACTTAAATAACTTACAGTATACTGAAAGTATTGTATCAGGGGTTAGATGCACTTTAACTTGAGCAGAAAATTGTTATGTGATTTTAGCAGTTCATTATAGTTCACAAGAGTGAGTTAGAGATATATCGAAAAATTTTCCAATGTTGTAATTTATTGGATGGTGCCTAAAAATGTTTGATCCATTTGTTTCTATGGAGAGTGCTGATTGGATATTTATAATAGAATGTCAAAATAACCTCAAAGTGTTCATGGTTCCCATTCCCCGTACTGTAAGTTGTTACATAATTATTTCCAGGTTCAACTGTTCACAAAAACCGCTAAAATAAATCAAAAAATGTTCTTCATAATTTAACTTCCATGACATTCATGAGTCACCTGTAGCCTGATCTTGCTAGTACACAGTTTACCACAACCTTCTAGTTTATTGAAGTAAAAGAGAATTGTTATTGACAAACCTTTAGTTTAGAGATCATATTTTTCTCAGAATCATCTGAAATACTCTTTTGTAACAGCAGTCTTTTAGCCAAGTGTTGTTTATAGTACCTTTCAAATACATCCTAAGAAAGGAAAATTCAAAATTAAATAGAATTGGTGAAGTATTAGACAAGAAAAAGGAAAAAAAATTATCATAATAAATTGACAGTTAATTACGACTCCCAACATGAAAGCTTATGCTACTTTGGGAGTCATCCACAATAATCTATTATACTCTTTTTTCTTTTAACTCAAACTGTTTAATACTTTGTACAAGTGTATACTTTGTATTGACACCATATTATTTCTTTGCATTTGGCCTAGGATGCATCGTTTTCATGCTACTCACTAAGCCATGCCCCAATTTTGAACTTAGGTGAACTTAATACACGGCTAACTAACATATAACACAGCCGAGTAGCTGTTCTTTTTTTATGAATTAAATTTAATAAAAATAATATTTATTGAAGATAAACAAAGCCACAGAGTGATTAACAGAAGGTTCCTCCTAACAAAAGTAAACTAATATAACCATAAAAATGAAAAGAAAAAAAAAGGTGACTCCCTACAGTATTTTTCGGACCATACCAGTCCTATCACTTTATCCAGCTTATTGATAGTCTTAATCTGCATGTATGGATTTGATTTTTGAACCAGCTTTAAAACTAAGATGAAGGTTTTGAATAATGTTAATTTTAGTTTGATTGACTTTACCTTGGCAACAATAAACAAATATCAATAACAATAAATAAAAATAATAAAAACAATAAATTGGTTTTGTCATATATCTACAAAACAAGAGCAGGTCTAGACAAGCGGTTAACGACATCATTAACTGCTAACTAAGGCAGAGCAATTGTAACTATCAGATAATCAATCTTTGATTTTGAGGACACTCAGGACAAAGGAAATTCCAACAAAAGCACTACATGAAGGTCCTGAGCTTATAATCTTGCTATTGTTATCGTGGCAGTATAAATATGACCAATCTGACTCTATTCTTCACTTGACTCTGAAGATGACTTCCACTCAGGTTGTCGAAACATCAGTCACATCAAATAGTCCTTCTCAGGATTACATCCACCCGGGTAATCATAATACTTCGATAAACATTCATTCTCCTGGGTTCAGACCGTACTATACAATACTCTTGACTTTGGTCAAATTCTGACTCCCAATGGATTAAAATGATAGGTATGGCCTGAAAAATACTTTGGGGGGTCACCTTAAACATCATATCAAATATCATAAGAAAATTATTAAATATACAAAATATTATAAAAAAATATATATACAAAATATAATTAAAAGAGTGGCTAAGACAGAAATATATGTCTAAAAAACAAATAACAAATAATATTCTAATACATGATAAAGAAATAAATCTACAGAAAGTACCTTTTCCTGTAAAAACCTAAACAAAACCATGCATTTATCTAGAATAGCTTCCACTTCTTGTTCTGAATACTGTTAAAAACAAAACATAAATATATATACATATATGAAATTAGCAAAGCCCAAAATAGATAGATTGGAACCTCTATAATACCTAAAGTCTGTTGTACCTATATATCTGTCTGTTGTATGGAGGTAAACTCGATCCCTCTTTTCCTTCCTAACTCAGGGGGGCAAGTTAAGTGCTCAGCATGTAGGAAGAGGAAAAGAAGGGACTGTTGACAACTCTCAGAGAAATGAATTAATGCCCCTTTTCACACTTATCAAATACTGTCTGCTTCAGACACTTTTATTGATAAAATTAAATATATATTAATGGTTTTATTTTATCAATGAGGGTGGTTAGCCTGTGAATAAATGTATGATCAAGATTACTACAGTAGTATTCTGCTTGATCTAGAGTACATTACCATGGTAACCAGTCATGACACCCCCTGACCATGATGCCCCCAGTATATACCATGACAACCCATTTAATATTTACAATCAGGTCCTTCGAATTCATCACGTGCATAAACCAACCCATCTGCAAAGAATCTGCTTCCACTTTGTTTGTAAATTAATAATATTGTTTTTCCTTATTTACTATGGCATCACAGAAAAATGTATTTTGATTCTCTTATGAAGGTGATCAGTTATGTAGGGATGTCCAAAGAATTTTAAAAAAAACAATGTTTACAGTAAGAAATAATTTACATTTTTAGTTTGAAATACATGACCATTTAGTAATGTTTTATAAAGTTGTTTCATAAGCTTGACAATAGACGACTTGCACTAACAAGTCACGTGACCCCATCCCCCTTAAAACGAGCAAATGAGTCAAATTGAACTCCAGAAATGAAACGAGCATCTCAAATTTAGTAAGAGGGTGAAGTTTCAGCTCGAAATGTTGACTATAGAAGAAATGACATTAAAGGATTTGTATGGAAAAAGTGTTGGCTGGTAAGTTTTTGCCTTCCAGTGCATTTACCCATATAAATCTTCTTAAAACATTTGATTTTATATCCAATACCATTTCTCCTGTTTCCCTTATTATGAGTTGAAACTCCGCCTCCCTACTAATGCTGAGATGCTCTCTTCATTTCTGTTTTTTATTTTGACAAAACTACTCGTTTTAAGGGAGGTAGGGTCACGTGACCTGTTAGTGCAAGTCGTCTATTTCTCATTATTACAATATTGAAGAACTGCAACGTTTTTCAATAATGTTTTCTAAATTACACCTCAAATCAATATTTAAACATTCTGTGGGGTGTCATGTTATCACAGACTGGGGGCATCATGATATATGCTGGGGAGATCATGGTATATACTGGGGGCATCAAGGTTGTTGCATCATAGTCAGGGGGGCATCATAACATCATACATTACCTTTCCACCATGACAGCTCACTGACAGATCAATCATTTTCAACCAATGGGAATTTCGATTTGCATGGGCAAGGTTCAATTCATTTCTTTGTGTGTTGTCCACAACCCCTACCTTTCCTCTCCGTGCAACCAAGTTAGGGGAAAAATGGGGCTCTACTAAGTTTGGAGGGAAACGAGTGACTCTTAACAGTCTATATAGAGGTGTCCATAAGAAAAGGTTCCAAGGTATTAATATTTATATTAACATTGGTATACCATCACACTTTTTCTCAAGGCAATTTATGTAATTTTTCATCTTTTTGTTGCATTTAATTTTTTAACTTTTAGCTGGCCATTCTTGCTCATCCTCACATCTTTTCTACATTTTCTTTTGTAATTCTGTTTTGTCCTTCTGAGGTTTTCAAAATCTTTCAGGAAATTCAATGAAAAGATCAACTAACTTACTCCTTTGACACCTTTCTTCAGTTTGTCATCAATGAAAAGAGACAAAAACTCTGGTGATCTACTATTGAGATTCAAAAAAAATTCAAATTCCTGTGAACAAGAAAACAAGGGTTAGCAGTCTATTAATTATAACTTAAAATACTGTACATTTTAAAAATTTCTCCTAAAAATAATTAGATACATACTGCTCCTATAGCTTGCTTGAATAACTTAACATTGTTGAAGCCATTATGGAGGAAATGATCAAACCTGTCCTTCAGATTCAAAAGATTCTAAAAGAAAACAAAGTCAAATAAGCAACTGTTTGTCGGCATCACTAAAACAAGGAACCAACAGATGAGACTGAACCACCAGAAACACTCAAGATATATGAAATACAAACATGTATCATTACAAAACATTTTTATCATACATTGTCTTGCTGAATGCTATTATCATGAAACAGATTGCCACACTCAACAGGCACTATTGTGAGTTCTACTTTCTACAGAAGTTCACATGAAAATAGGTTTGGGTTGTTCCTTGAAAGGGAAACTGTTATCAACATGAGAACTGCCTTCTCCACATCTTTGCTCTATTAACCAAAGCTCAAGCCAAAATTATTTAACAAAATATAATTGGTATTCTCTGCTTACCTGAATACATGGGATAGGGTTTTTAGAACATTCATTATCTTCATCAGCCATGATAGCTTTTCCTTGTTCTCTAAGATACCCTCTCATACAATCACATATGGTTTTCAGTCCATCCTTGACTCGAGAGAATAATCTATACATTCTTGCCAAATCTGGAGTATCAGTAAAGTAGAACATTGTAAGGAATGAAGTTATGATAAAAATAGGAATTTCTCATATCGCTCATTAAACTGTACATACATCTCAATGCATTTCAAAATATTTAATTTCCATAACAATGATGATGATGGTGATGATGATGATGATGATTATATTATGATAACAGTTTATAACAGTTTATTCATTTTCGTTTTAACTTTGAAATTACATCTTCATCTGCATGCAGGTTACATCATGTCCTCCAAAATTATCTTTTTCTTACTGATGAATTAGAGTCTGACATCAGTGATGATTTATTCCTAATCGATAAATTTACTTAATCACTAATTTACTAAATCACAAATGTTCTATTCTTTTATGACAACCATCTTGCAAGTAGGTGTATATGAGAGTTGTATATGAGAGTTGCCTGTTAGTGATCTCTCCTATGCTTTGAGGCTTTTTCTCTTGGTTCTCACAAAAAATATCTAATTTGATGTGGTGTTGAGTGGTTTAATCATGAGCCTCTGGCTTGGGAGACTGACCAATTACTCTCAGTCTGCATGTTTGACATAAAAATAATAATTTGGTCAGACAAGCTTACCATCAATTTTGTTATGTTTAAGCATATGGATCACTCCTGAGTTCTCCATGTCTACAATAGTTTTCATATGTTTACGGATTAATTCCTCTTCTACGACCTGTAAACAACACCATTATCAATTAGTTGTTCTGTTTTTACAGTAACATTGATTGAAAATGAGAATGAACTACAGTGTATTTTTCAAATCCAAAATAAATAGCATACTTTTACAATAGCTTCCTCTGTACTTGGGTCAAGATAATGTTTGGCTCTTTCAGACTCTTCATTTATTCTTTGTTCAACCTTTCAATTGAAAACAAACAGCATATTTATCTTTAGTGTGCTTGAAGTATTTTCAAAAGCTGATTATGTACTTTAAGGATACACAGCACAAAATTTGTTTCAAAAAATTAAGCTCAATATTTAGCAAAGGAAATATTTGAAAAAAAAGGAGTTTCCAATCAATAGTCTCATAAGGTGTTGCTTTGCCGATCAAGGTCTTTCAATCCAGGCCAAAAACAGCAAGCCAGATATTTGATCATAGTGACACTTTAAGGAAATTAAAATGTGTAGTTCCAGAAATTATCCATACCCACCCCACAGAGGAATTTGGAATTTCCGAAGGGTTGGGGGGTCAGAGAAAGAACAAAAATTACAGAGTTTGTATGGAAGAAAATTGGAATTCCCAGGGGTGGGGAGGGGGTGTCTTAAAAAAATTCCTCCATGTATGGATAATTTTTGGAACCACACAATGTATTATCATTTCACCAGAAGTTTTAGTCTAAAGATAAATTATCTAAAGAGCAATTTCTGTAAAAAAAACACCATCACATTAAAAAAAGAATAGAAAAATAGAACACAGACAAATGGTAACTATGGAAATAAATAAATAAATAATATGATCATCAATAATATGATCGTTCAATAAACTCGCAGATCGTGTTTTATCAGGTCAAAAAACACTCAGCTACGTCTCGTGTCTTAAAATCCTGATAGAACACTCCTGCGAGTTTATTAAACAGTACTTCTAATCACACACTTACTTTCTGTATATATATAGATGCACTGTTTTCTGCTAAAAACTTTTGACCTTCCATCTGAATTGAAAAAATATTTAACATGTATCAGATACTGAAATGGAAAAGAGCTTTACGAACCGCAACGCTTACATCTTTAACATACATATTGATATATTAACCTAGATATTTCAAACCCCATACCAGGAACCATAAAGGGTCCAAAAAATAAACACAACATGAAAATGATAAAATAAAAATGTTTAAGTATTCTTGACCTTGTAGAACTCTGCTGATTCTTCTAAGAAGGGGGTTTCAAAGTCCTCTTCATACACATGTCTTGAGTCTATACCAAGGATCATCAACATCTGACAGGCATTCCTAATGGCCATCCTGGAATAAGACAAACAGTGTTATCAGTAAAAGGTTCCCATGAATATGGAAGTTGGTCACAATCATTTACATGGGAGAACTTTGTTGTTATAATAATAATTATGAGAACCTTCAATTTCATCAGCATCATAATAAAAACTATTCATCATAATGGGTAGTCCCAGAAAATATTTATATCCATACCATTAATAGCATTTTGGAAATCCAGAAAAGGGGATTTTAAAATCAAGCATTCTGAAGGAGAGGGGGAGCATCTTGGTTCGCAATTTTTGAAGGGAAGAGAGGATTATTGTTTGTGAAATATTAAATTTGAAAAGAGCAGATAAAGCAGCTGATCTTTGTGATTTCCATCGCATCGTAGTCTTTCGATCTCATTGTAGTTTCTCATTGTATATTAAATATGTTATAAAATAACGTAAATCTTCAAACTAAGCTGCCTCGAAAGACCTTTTAATCTTACATTGCAACCTCCATGTTTCTTAAATGATTGGGAAGATGGCAAAAATAGATTGGCAAAAATTCAAAAAATGTCGTTTATAGCTGCCATTAAAAGTTCTGTTGCACTTTATTGAGCATTGTTTGTCAATAGAAGCAAGAGAAAATGTTTAATATCAAAGATATGTAATGATAAGAATCATTTTCCCAAATTATTTTCATAGTTTTAAGTCCTTTTCATAATTTGTGCATGGAAATGTATGGACTTTGTTGCCACAGAGTTGAAACCTTATTGTAAAAGATATCTGGAGACCTGTTATAGCCATCACCATTACCATCACAATTTAAGTGTTGCAATGAAAAAGATTTAAGTTGTTTATATTATACAATGAATAAATCACCTGTCAACAACTTCACCCTTTCTTTCTTTTCTTACTAGAGTTAATAAAGTTTGACAAAGGTGATCTCTGATATTGCCATATCTTACAACCTGTTGATTAGCAAAACATAATGAAATTAAAGCAAAGAAATAATAATAATATAAACTAGTTGTTTTTACCAGGTAGAAAGTGAAATACTGCGAGTTTGCATTACAAATAATATTAATTGCGACAGTGGCCGATCAGTGTTTATCTGGGGCTACTGCCAAACTAAAGGTTTTCTCTGATCATTTTCTTTGTTTGCAAATTTATAGCCATAAATGCCACAGGAAGCCCATCACCCAATCCACGAACTAAGAGTCTGGGATGCCTGTGTTGCCATGTGGATCAGGCAAACCACAAGAATAATTACATGTATGAGATTCAAACACATAAATACAACCATTTTTTTTCTTTTTAAAGCCATAATTTGGCCTTCTAATACAAAAACGCATAATTATTGGTTGTGAAAGTACTCATTAAAGCTGAATGTAAAATGAAATATGGTGCCTTGTTTTCATGCTTACCACTGATAATCCTTACCCAGTAAAATAGAACCTTCCACAGCTTTTTCTAACTCTTGATATGAGCAAGTTAGCAAAATATTGATTAAGGCTATTTGGCAGAGCACCTCAAATTTAGACAAATTGCCAAGTTAGAGGGTGATAAGGTTGGAAAATGGGGAAACTATAGCTCTGTAAAGTTGCAAAATTTGTTTTCATGGTGGGAGGCAAAATCGTTTTCCCCACCATACAAACGCCTGTTAACTTTTGTGACTTTGAATGGCTATATTTTGCCTGTTTCCAATACATCATTCTCAAACTTGGTCAATTTTCTAATTTTGAGGCACTTTTCCCAATATTATCAATGGATTTTTGCTAACTAGTCCATGTAAAAAGTTGAAAAAACCCTGTTTGGTTTTCTAATTTTGAGGCATTTTTCCAACATTATCAATGGATTTTTGCTAAATGGTCTAACAGTTGAAAAAAAGGTGGAAGGCTCTATTCATTGAAACTTACTGACCATTTGTTTTTTTGTTTTGGTTTGTGCCTCAAACTAAAAAGGCAATAGGACTTTTGTGCAACAATAACTTTTCTGATGTTCATTTTGACAACTTGTACTTTTAAGGGATAGGGTCACGTGACCAATTATTGGTCACGTGACCCTATCCCTTAAAAGTACAAGTTGTCAAAATGAACATCAGAAAAGGAAAGAGCATCTCTTTACCATTCACAGAAAAAGAAATTTAGGCACTGCATAAAAGTTGAGCTCCCATTGTTTACTTTGAAATAACCAGGAACCCAGTGGTGTACGAAAATGGACAAACATACATAGGTAGGTACATACCTATGTATCAACTCCATGGGTTACCAATTTTTTTAAGTACATGTATTTTGCTCCACTCGCAGGTGCCATAAGCTCTAGTAATATGTTAAACACATTTTGACAAGAAATTTACCTTATCTCGAAAAAGAATCAGCCCTAGGTTATATACATTATCAACACCATTTTGTTGAACATAGACACGGTCCTAGAAAGAAAACACAACCATTCAATGGAGAACTTTAAAGGAATATAAAACATGTGTGTAAAAGAATGAATATCTAATGAACAAAGACATTAATTAAAAAACCAAGAAACTCTTTTTAGTTTAATTCACGTATGAGCCGACTGACCAAATTTGGCTGAAATGAGTTGAATACAGCATGGAGAATGAGCGTGCAAAAGTTCATGGTTTTCTGAAAAACTCTCCTCTGAGAAAATGTAAAGTTTGGTTTGCAGGGGCTAAATCTATTTAATTTACATACTTAGTGGGATTATCGGTGACACCTTTTTGCCAAAAAAAAAAAAAAAAAAACACAGCAAGCTATTTGATCCTGAAGTTCACAGCAAGTGATAAATACGATACATCTTGGTTTGTATACATATCGTGATAGTTCCTGTCGTCACAGCAACACCTTCGATCAGTCATTTAAAAATAAGTTTTGCCCAACTAATAAATATCTTAAAATAATTTGTTCAAAAAAGGAAAGATCTTCCTTTCAGCAATTATTTAAGGTATTTTTCAAAAAATTGAACATCTAGAGTAATTTTGTGTCCCTTGAACAGCTATCCTATTCAACCTAGGGGCTTTAAAATCAAATTATAAAAATATTTCTAATTAATTCCTATTCCTTATTTTGTTATTTTTATGACAATTCTTGCAATTAGGCGTATATCTTCATCAATAAAATGATATTTGTTAAAATAATTAAAAAACAATACTTGTTGAAGCCAAGGATATAGTAGATAAACAGGTAATCATTTGTGGATCATTTCTTACCATGTACATTAGGATATCTCTTATCATAACCATTGATGTCTGGTGATCATTCCATGCTGCATTCAAGGTATCTAAGAAATTGTTACTTAAAGAGGCTACGACCTCCTTGCGAATCTGTGAAAATTGAGTCAGCAAATAGTTAATTAGACCCTTGTATACAATTTTATCAAACTCATTAACAAATATTCATGAGGAAAACACAACAGAAATCATGACCGTGAAGAGTGTTGTAAATCTGATACAAAACTGTGTTCATTTGCATAAACTTTAAGTTGGATTTTCTTGGCCAAATTCACTTTAATTTTGAAAATTTTAGTGAAACACAAAGGAACCTAGATGCTTGATAAGTCATATACAGTATTTGTGTCCGTGTTGTATCAGATGTACAATCATTCGGCTACGCCTCGTGGTTGTATATCTGATACAACACGGCCACTCATACTGTATATATTACTAATAATTCAATATTATTGATACCCCAAGTCTTATACTCTAAAGTTCAATCACCTTTTCTTCCAGATGCTCTGTTACTACTTGCTTTAATCCATTATATAACCGTTCCCCATGTTTGTGTAATACCATAGTATAAGCATTTCTAAGAAACAACAAAGTCATTAAAAAATTAATTATTTAGAATTTACGGTCTACTGTAATCTGCGAAACAAAACAAGTTGACAGGAATTTTCTATCAAGAGAAAAAAATATTGTTAGTACATTCTGAAACTTTAGCATTCTTTAGGCCAAAAGAAAGTCAAACAAGAGTACAATCTTTCAATGTTATCATCTCTGTTCAAAAAATTTTGTTTGCATTCTAATTCATTTTGATTTAGATTTTGAACAGATTTAAGCAGTAAGCTGAACTATATCTGTTGTAATTTGTGATGAACCCTGGCAGCAAGTAAGGAAGGCTGGACCCCTCCTTCTCTCAAACAATAGACAGTCTAAGACTGCATGTGGTTACTGTTAGTCCTGTTATACATATTGCATAATCATGTATATATGAACAGCTGCAAATGTGATACTTTTTGCTCATATTGAAACCTTGTTCTTCCTACTGATCTTCACTTGTCAGTGCAAAGAATACTGCTTCAAGTAGCTCAATCAAAGCATGGGTACAGTAGTTAAATTGTTAAATCAAAATCGTGTATTTGTCATGACATTTGAAAAATTCTTAAACTTCTGGTTGACCTACTGCTTTAAGCCTTTCCTGAAGTAAACAAAAAAATAATCAGGTAGAGACTAGATAAACTAGTTAACCGCGTCGGTGTTTGGAATTGAAAAGTAAGAGAATTGATTTAACTTAATACACCGTATGGTTTGTGATGTTTAGAAACTGACATTTCGGATGTTAGTCCTTCGTCGGAGTAAATGTGAAAAAAATAATCAGCTCAGTCTTTTTTAATTATTATCTTATAATTAAGCAGATTTTCTTTACAGGCAGGCTCAGTCTTGAATTGCAGTAGTCAACAAAATAGACCATTGATAGACATTTACTTCTATCACTTGATATGCAATGTTTAGAAATATTTAGCATATTTTAGAGTCTAATTTATTCAAAATGCAGATTTTCATTGTACTATCATAGAAAACCAAATTTTATGCGTAATTTGTGATTCCACATGTGAAATTTCACTTTTTCCATGGTGACGTGAATTCTCCTTTCCAAAACAAAATGGAGTCCATCTGCTTGAGACCCGCAAGACAAGGAAAACAATTATTGCTATTATTGAGAAAGTCAACAGAGAATTTAAATGTATAAAAACAGTATGGACAGAAAGTATTTTAAAACTGGTGTGAAGCAAAAAAGTGAGAAAATCCTGGAAAACTTAGAGCCAGACAAGGTTTTATGGTAGAAACTAGAGCTTCTGTAAAGAATAGTCATTTGCAAAAATAAAACTTTCGTGTGGTCTTGATTTTTGTATTCCAAAAAAGAACAAAAAACATGCTTAATCTTTGACTGATTTTTTTTATCTTCATCAATAAGGGTCTTCCCTGCCACAATTTGTTCTTTATGATATTCATTGCTAATCAAATGGTAACTTGTGAAATTAGAGATAAATTTCACTTGCGTTTGTCAAATCTACATAATTTGCTGAGCCTACTTTGTTTTAACGAATGTGTTAAATTTATTTATGATTTCACTTGTCGCTATGTTATTACATATACTAATTCTGACCAAATACATGCTGATTTTTATGATTGGAAAAGAATTGACAAAATTCTGCCAATAATAATGTTCAAAATAGCAGCCTGCTGCTGGCTTTCGCCTGCAATTTCAGCACCACAACCAAAATTACAAAATTTAATAAAGAAATGAAGTGATTCTGATCAATAAATTACGACTATTTACAACAATTTCCTACAGTACATCCTAAAGTAAAGTTATGCTCTTCAACACATGCTCAGCACTGCATCCCAGATCCATTGCAGCAGAATCCTAATTTCTTTTATACATGTGGTATTGGGCCTTATTATGAGAAGCTTTTAATAGCTAAATCTGAGAGTAACTTTGTGTAACGTTTGTAAGCAAGACGATTGATGATCATTTAAGAGCGTATGTCTGTAACGGTCGAGAAACCCAAGACAGTTGCAAAAAATCAAAGTTGATTTTATTTCACCAAAA